TGTCTTGTGTGTTTTCTCTATTGGGTTTTGCTATGATGATGCATATGTGACCACATTGTGTGGGCCTGATCAACTCATTCTTTGTGTAACTTAGGCAGAGTCATGGTACTACCGCGGAGAAACCGTGAGATGACTAAGGGTCAACCCGACCCGGTCCTGATTGCATTAGCTGAGATGTAGGCGGCTAGACTAGCCGATCAGGAGGCTGCTAGATTGGCCAACTTGGCAATAATGGACGTCGTTCGAGAGGCGAACCAGAAGGCCACATTGGATGTTATTGAGGCGAACAGGCTAGCAAACATGACCTTGAAGAGGGTCATGTTGGAGGAGATGCGGGCTGGCCGCAATGAGGGTCAGTTCCCACCACCACCACCGCCGGAAATGGATTCAAAACGAAAAATCGAGTGGATAGGCAAGTTTCAGAAAATTTGATGAATAGTGACATTACCGGTGTAAAATACTGTGGTATAATTGTACCGATAAACGTGAAAATATGATCAGTATTGTTAAGAAGTAAAAATATGACGTGAACGAGAAAAATACGTAGGTTATGAATTTGTGGGTTATATTGGGTAATTTAAGAAAGTTAATTGGCGTGTGGGACCCACTTAAGTGACTTAAGTGAGTAAGTGGACAAAAGCATCACAATTTCAGAACACTCTCTCTCCTCATTCTCCTTCTCTCCTGTGGGTTTTCACCATTTTTAAAGGTTTTGAAGCTTTGATTTATAACTCTCTTTTCTAGCCATTTTTAGGAAAAACTCCTAACTACAAAGTTGTTCCCCTTGAGATTGTGAGTAACTTTCATGAAGAGTGCACCTTGTGGGGATGATTGTGTGAGGAGTTATACCCCTAAAACAGCCACAGAAATATTGAGTTTTTGGAGAATTTTTGTTGAACCATTGGTTGGAGATCACTCCCTTGGACCATTGGAGGCTATTGGTGATAAGACTTCACATTCTCATTTAGTTTTCCATGAGATTATAAATTGGATGAGGGTTTTGGAAGTTGTAAGTTGAGTTATGGTAGTTAGGAGCATGAAATAGTATGTCTCATTTGGAATTAAATGCTTAGAATGATAAATGATGTAATAAAAATTATTGTCATTTGGAAAGTTATAACTTAGTGAAAATTGGAGTTGATATTGATGATTTTGTGAAATAATATGATGATGGTATTGGATAATTGAATTGTTGAGCATTGGTATGAGTTAATAATAGGATTGTATGATATGTGTAAGTGTAAAATTGGATTGAAAACCTTGGAGCATGAATCCATGCACAATTCAACATATAAGAGAATTTAAGGAAAAATGATGTGAAAAATATGGTTTAATAAATGGTGGATGCTTTGGTACAATTGACCTATATAGGTTGCCTCTCACAAAGTTGGTGGGGTATTATTGTTACGTATTTGAATTTGTGGTAATGCATTTGTTGATGATCTTGGTATTGACCTATATAGGTTGCCTCTCACGGACGCAATAAAGGAGGACTAAACTTGGAGCGTACGTTTTGGAGCATTGTGCTTGGAGTTGAGGTAAATCTTTGAAACTTGGGTTTTAATCCCTTTTGTGCTCCACCACACCTAGTGGAAGGTTGTGGTTGGATTTTGTGCTTTTGGCATTGTGTGAATATGTATGTTCATGCATTATTGCTTGGTTGTGTGACATGCTTGGAGCATGTTGTGTATGAAATTTTGTGATCTCTGGCCAGTAGATGTGTGTGGTTTGGACTTCCTCTGGAGATATCCTTTGGGGATTTCGGTCGGGTTTTGCCGTGGGGCCGACTCTGGGAGCGGCACCAGGATTATCCAAATGTGAGACTTCCGTTGGATAGGGCTTATGAGGAGTTCCAATTGGGTTCTGCCATGGGGTCGTCTCATCCATGGGAGAGGCACCAGGAAGCTTCCCGGGAGTTATATGATGGGGTCTTTGAACGAAATCCTTATGTGGATGTTCTTGGATTTGTGCCCAGTTGTTTGGTTATTTTGTATGTTATGCATTTCACATGATGTTATTGTTGCACATTGAGTGAGCCACGAGGTGGAGTGATCCTCTAGTACCCTTGGTTTATTGAGATATATTTGTATATCTCACCCTGCATTTGGGGACATCATTTCAGGCTATAGCGAGTATGGAGGAGCTTCGGGAAAGAGGCCCGCTTAGTGATGGAGTTAGATCATGATGTGCAGATGGATAGCATGGCATTTTGGAGGAGTTTATTTGATGCACATAGTATGACATTTAGTATATTGGACTTAGATCATGAACATATTGCATGTTGAGATTTCCATGCTTTTGTGGTGTTCATGACTAGATTCTAAGTCTAGGTAGTTGATGTACATTTATTCCTCTTATTTATAAGTGTATTTTGGGTGAGCATGAGACTTGTCCATTGCCACATGTTTTGTATTTTAAGACATTGGATGACTTGTGTTGTAAATAGACCATTTGATGTGTAAAATGGCTATGATATGGGGAAATATTGTAATTGATGCATTACATAATGAATATGCATGATGGAAGGGCCTAGTGCCTACATTAGATCTTGTGTAAGTGGTATAATGAGTACTAAGGTGCTAGAAGTAAGTTATATCACCCATTTTGTGTTTTTAAATGCTGTTATATGTCATTTTGCAGTAGGGTAATCGATTACTTTTCTTTGGTAATCGATTACCTGAAACAAGGAACGCAAAATTGAGCCACTATGTTCAAAGTAATTGATCACCTTGACATAGGTAATCAATTACCTAGTTCAGTAATCGATTACCTGTGTCCAAGTAATCGGTTACCCAAAACAGGGGAGCCCAAATTGGCTACTGTCTCATTCTGGAGCCTTTGGTAATCTATTACCCAAAAATGGTAATCGATTACCACTGTGTAAAATCTTGAAAATGTGTTTTATGAAATCTAAAATCAATGGTATTGCTTAGAGAGATGATAATTAGTATGTGTTATGCTTCTGCGAGTTTTGCATTTACAATTATGGCGTTGTTTTAATTAGTTACGAAAATGGTTAATTGTGAATAATGAGGATTTAATAAAAGAAAAAGCTTACCCGTAATTTAATTAACTCAATTACTGTGATTGTAACTGGCTTAATACCATATGCAATGATAACATTTTCAGTACGTAACGGGCTGTTACACTTTATGGTATCAGAGCAATTTTGTTAGGGAACTCCGAGTATGTATGACTGCATTTTGTGTTGCATAGCTATCTGTGAACTATTTATGATTAATGTATATGTGATTCCTCAGTGTGGGTCTGATCAGCTCATTCCTTTGTGTTACATGTACAAATATCATGAGTAGGGAACGAGGTCACCGTGGAACACGAGGTGCAGGTCCTCAGCCGCCTGATCCGGTTACTGCAGTTCTTAATGCTCTGCAGGCGGAGACGGCTGCCAATAGGAGTATGACTGAAAACCTGATGAAGAACAATCAGGATAATCTGCAAGCCTTCATGACTGAGATGAGGGCTAATAGAGTTCGTCATCTGAGGGATGATTCTCCTCCACATATGGCTATAGTGACTCCTCCACCTACGCCGTATGTTACTCCTCAGCAGGGGGAGAGTGGGGCTAGTCACCATACTGGTGAGGCTAGTAACCAGACTACTGATCCTATATATGTAGCCCATACTTCTGTTGACCCGACTTCTTTTGCTCAGACATGGCTGCTGAGCAAGTTTTTGATGATGCTGCTGATGAGCGAAGGCTCATATCCTTTAGAAAACAAAAACCACCCGTATTTCTGGGGTCAAAGGACCCGAAGGAGGTTACTACATGGCTGAGGGGGATGGATAAGATATTCTAGGTGATGAGGTGTCAGGATCCTCAGAAGTTATTGTATTATGTGTATATGCTGGAGGGAGATGCCCACAAATGGTGGTGCAACGTAACTCGCCCTTTTACTATTCAGGGTGAGGAGCTGACATGGGCCTTGTTGAAGGCTTGTTCCATGAAGAATACTTTCCCCGAGATATCTGGGAGGCAAAGCAAGGAGAGTTTGATAAGCTTGTACAGGGGTCCATGACTGTGGATCTAACTTGGCTAAATTCAATGAGTTGGTCAAGTTTGCCAATTATGGGGGTACTCTACCTACGCTCGAGTTCTTATCTGCTAATTTTCAAAGAGGGCTGACTGAAAAGATTGCCAAGAGGATGTCAAATACGACAGTGAGATATTTTGCTGATCTTGTGACCCAATGTAAGAGGGTCGAGACTGTTTATGGGAGATATCCGAAATCAAATTCGGCAAAAGAGAAAGAAATTAAGAGGACATCTGGTCCTTCTGGTATAATAATAATAGAGGTGGCTACCATCATAATAACAACAGGGTAAGAGGTTGCAAGTAAAGCAGCCTCCTGGTCAATTCAAGAGGAGTGGAGCCCCGTGTGGTGGAGCTGTTGACAGGTATTATACCCCACAATGTGGGAAGTGCAAGAAATACCACAAAGGTGTATGTGGTGCTGCCCCAGGGGCGTGTTTCAAGTGTGGTCAGACTGGCCATTTTGCTAGGAGTTGTCTATCTGCTACTGGGCAGGCTGCGAATCTGCAGGTCTGAGTATCTTATACTCCTACTGCGGCACAAGCTGCAAATCTGCAGGCTTTACCGACTACTACTTCTACGACTACTGCTGCTATTCCTACGGTTGGACGAGTGTATACTACAAATGCGTAGCATACTAAAAGGGCCCCAAATTTGGTAAAAGGTATAATTTTCATTTCTAATATTGATTTGTCTGTATTGTTTGATTCGGGAGCAACGCATTTGTTCGTGGCGGAATATGTGGCTAAGGCATTGGACTTAAAGGTAACACGAATGGTTCCCCCTATGCGCATTACTACTGCTACATGAGAGGTTAATGATTCATCCTATATATGTGAGGAGGTTGGGTTTGTTTATGAAGGCAGGGGTTACACGATTGATTTGATTATCTTGCCCCTGGCCTCTGTCAATTTGATTTTGTATGGATTGGTTGTCTTAAAACTGCGCAATGATTGACTGCTGTGGAAAGAGGTTGATACTATCTCACGAGAGGCCTTCTGTTTGTCCGTCTCCTTACCTGTCTGTATGTCAAACTGTTAAAGCCTTGAAGGCTGGTGATCTGGGTTATGTACTCTTGGGTGGACTGGTTGGTGACAAGGAGGAAGAGATTTCGGGTATTCCGGTTGTTAATGAATTTGCGGATGTATTTCCTGATGAGATACCGAAATTTCCACCTGAGAGGGAGATTGAATTCTCTATTGATTTATTGCCTAGTGTGGGGCCTATCTCTTTGGCTCCATACCGGATGTCGCCACTGGAGTTGGCTGAGTTGAATAAGCACATTGAAGATCTATCTACAAAGAATTTTATCATGTCGAGTGTGTCTCCATGGGGAGCACCGGTAATTTTATTTGAAAAATAAGGATGGTAGTATGAGACTGTGTACTGACTACCGGCAGTTGAATAAGGTTACGATTAAGAACAGGTATTCGTTGCCACATATTGATGATTTGCTAGATCAGTTGAGAGGTGCCTGTGTATTTTCTAAGATTGATCTCCGGTCCGGATACCACCAGATCCGGATTAAGCCGGAGGATGTGCCTAAAATGATGTTCCGGTCTAGATATGGACACTATGAGTATCAGGTGATTCCCTTCGGGCTTACTAATGCCCCTACGGTGTTCATAGATTATATGAATCACATTTTTAAACCGTATTTGGACAAGTTTGTGATAGTGTTTATTGATGACATATTGATTCATTCTAAAAGAAAAGAGGAGCATACAAAGCATCTGAGGACTGTGTTGTAGGTGCTGAAAGATAAGAAGCTATATGCTAAGCCATCTAAGTGTGAATTCTGGCTATCGGAGGTGCAATTTTTGGGTCATGTTATTTCTGCTAGTGGTGTTGTTGTGGATCCAAGTAAGATTGAAGCGGTGAGTGACTGGGAATGACCTAAGACTGTGACTGAGATCAGGAGCTTTCTGGGTCTTGCTGGTTATTATCGCAGGTTTATACAGGGTTTTTTGCTATGGTACTGCCATTGACCCGTTTGACATGAAAGGATACTCCTTTTGTGTGGACCTAAGAATGTGAGGATTGCTTTCTGACTCTGAAGGAGAAATTGACTACTACTCCTGTGTTGACTCTTCCCGATCCGGTAGGTGATTTCGAAATGTATTGTGATGCTTCCAAGAAAGGTTTGGGGAGTGTGTTGATGCAAGAACGAGAGGTGGTTGCTTATGAGTCTAGGCAGTTGAAGACTCACGAGGAAAATTATCCGACGCACGATTTAGAGCTTGCTGCTATTGTGTTTGCCTTGTAAATCTGGAGGCACTTTCTGTATGGGATGAAATTTGCTGTGTTCAGTGATCACAAAAACTTGAAATATTTGTTTGATCAGAAAGAGCTGAACATGAGACAACGGAGATGGGTGGAATTCTTAAAGGATTATGATTTTGAGCTGAAATACCATCTGGGTAATGCTAATGTGGTGGCAGATGCATTGAGTAGAAAATCTGTCAGTGTGTCCCAGCTGATGATGTGGGATAATGAAGTGATTGATCAATTCCAGAATTTGAAAATAACAAATTTCTTTGCAGGTAGAGTGAGTGATATTGAGTTGACTCAGATTGAGAATGAATTGCATGAGAAAATTAAAGAAACTCTGATAAGGAATGATAGTGCTAATATTTGAAAGGCCAGGGTGGCATGTCTTTTAATGAGCAAGGGTTACTATTGTATCAGGGCAGGATTGTAGTGCCCAAGGAGTTAGCATATGAGGTTATGGTTGAGGCCCATAAGGGTCAGTATGCTATCCACCCAGGTTCCACAAAAATGTATCAGGATTTGAAAGAGAAGTTCTGGTGGCCTAGGATAAAAAGGAATGTTGCGAAGTATGTATCAAGGTGCTTGGTCTGTCAGAAAGTGAAGATAGAACATCAGAAACCTGCTGGTTTACTTCAGCCACTGGATATACCAGAGTGGAAATGGGAAAGCATCTCCATGGATTTTGTTGATGGGTTGCCGCAGACTCAGGCTGGTTACGATTCAATTTGAGTTATTGTGGATAGACTTACGAAGTCTGCACATGTTCTGCCGGTGCGAGTGGATTTCACCACTGAGAGATTAGCAAAATTATATGTGAATGAAATTGTGAGGATCCACGGGATACCGGTTAGTACTGTAAGTGATCGAGACCCGAAGTTTACTTCGCGTTTTTGGGGAGCTTTGCAGCAGCCTTTTGGCACTTAGCTCATGCTGAGCACTGCGTATCACCCGCAGACTGATGGTCAGACTGAGAGGACCATACAGACACTTGAGGATATGTTAAGAGCTTGCACATTGGAGCAGGGTACTGCTTGGGATAGGTATTTGCCATTGGTGAAATTTTTATATAATAACAGTTTTCACTCTAGTCTGGGCATGGCACCATATGAGACATTGCATGGACGGAGATGTCGTACTCCTACTTGATGGACTGAGGTAGGTGATAAAGAGAGATTTGGCCGGATTTTGTGCAAAAGACTACAGTTCAAATTGAAATTATCAGAGAAAAACTAAAACAGGAACAACATCGGCAGAAAATCTATTATGATAATAACCACAAACCGCTAGAGTTTGAAGAAGGTGACTATGTATTTGTTCGGTTATCTCCGGTCACGAGTGTTGGCCGTGCGTTGGGTGTGAGGAAGCTGAGTCCTCATTTTATCGGGCCAAATCAAATCATGTAAAGAGTGGGACTAGTGGCCTATTAGCTCGCCTTGCCCCCACAATTATCTAATCTACATGATGTTTTTCATGTGTCGCAGTTGCGGCGTTATGTTCCGGATGAATCACATGTGGTGATACCAGATGATATTGAAATTTGGGAAAACTTGAAAACTCCCATTTGTAAGAACCCGCACTGTTAATTAAGGAAGTTAATTAATTAAGTATGAGAAATTAGGAAATAATTCTGTAATTGACCCTAATAATTATGATATGGCTTAAATAATTATGGTAAGTGTTTAATAATGCTGAAAGTCGCTTTTCTGACGAAAAGTGCAGGTATCGGTTCTGCTACTCGGTATAAATGTGTACCGATGAAGTATTCCGGAAAATTATAATAAGTGCTTGAATATTCCTAGAATAATATATAGGACTGTGATTTCAAGTTTCAAGTTAAAATAATGAGAACTGGTGCCAGAACTGATACTGACTATGGAAAAACGTGTACCAGAAAGGTGCTGCGAAAAATAAAATAAAAATATGATAAATCCTAGAAAAAAGAGTAGGTTCAGATTCCAAAGTTTTAGATTGAAATGCTAAGCGTAGATATTATTATTAATATTGTGTGTTTAATGTTAAGTGGAATATATATACTAGTGGGCTCTAAACCCTAGGCCATGTTGAGGCTGCCTACGTGAGGAATTTCTGAACCCTCTTCAGTTGCCACCCTTCCTCTACCATTCTATAGCCATTTTCTTCTTGAACTCCACCAAAAGGACCTCATTTGCTCCTTGTTCCTTCACCTTTTTAGTAGAGTGAAAGGTCCTTGTTTTCTGAGTTTAGGCTGCTGTTTTGAGGAGTTTTGTGGGCTGAGTTGGTGTTCATCTTTGGTGAAAGCCATTCCCTTGTCTTTGGAGGCTTCAAGGAGCCACCTTTGAGTAGAAAGGTCCAAGCTTGTGTTGTATTTTCGTGGCTTGGCAAAGTGAGAACCTTGGAGTGTAGTTGGAGACCTCTCTGCTAGCTCATTTTCGGAGTTTTGAGCCTTGGAGGTATACCATGATCACCTCCTTGTCATTTTGAGGTTTTAAGCTTGTTTAATCGGTTAAAAAGTAAAACTTGGATCATTTAAGTAAAGGAATGTGTTTCTGAGTTCTTAAGATGTTGTTGAATATCTGTTTCGGCAGACATTAGACTCCCAATCGCATTTGGACCCTTAAAATTGGGATTATGCAATTGTCTGTTCGAATTTCTGCATTCTGTTGGAGAAGTATTCGAATACTTTTCGTGTAGTATTCGAATACTTGTCTTTTGGTAGTCGAATACTCCTTGCGGGAGTATTGGGAAACTTTTCTGGGAAGAAAAGTATTCGGATACCTTTGAAGAAGTATTCGAATACTGGAAAGTATTCGAATACAGTGAGTTTTGGTATTCGGATACTGTGGTATTCAGATACTTGGGATGTTGGTATTCAAATACCTTGTGGTATTCGGATACTTTAGTGAAAGTAATCGAATACTTTCTGGAGACAACGAGTATGCGAATACTCATCGAGAAGTATTCGAATACCTCCTGCAGAAACAACATGAAATGACTTAAAATGAGATGGAAAGCCTTAATCACTTAATGTAACCTTGGTAAATGGTTATTGATGATTATCTATTGTATAAAGAGATTGTGATTATGCTGTTTGTGGGCTTTGAGCTTGTGTGGACTCTTGGCTTGGATTGTTAGCTTGTGTAACACCCCGTATATATCCGGTTGTTATCACATCATCGTATTAAGCCACGCTTAATTTAAAAATGCGGAATATCTTTTTCTGTTCAATTATGACGTCATTATCATTAGCCAAGTTGAATTACTTAATTCATTTCACAAAACATCGCCTGTATGTGAATTGCAAAAGACAACTAACTGAAATACCTCATAACATAGATGTGAGTATCTAAGTCACGGATCTACAACACGTAGTCAGGACAATATCCTGATACATTATTAATTACAACTAGAAACTAATAAGCATAAAGTCAAGTCAAAGTGGCATGGACAATCCCCATGCTCACCAAATAAGGCACAAGCCCCACATCAATCTCAACAATAACATCATGAAACTAAAAGCATAAAAGGCAACAGTCAATATCCAGCATCCATCATAAGCAGCATAACAACATATAATCAGCTAAGCTCCGGCCTCCTGCCGCTGGAGGTCTCAACCCCCGCATTACCTGAACTTGATATATGTGCCCCAAACGTGGGGTGAGATATCTAAAAAGAAATCTCAGTAAGACAAGAGGTCCTCAAGGATCTTCCACCCCAAGCTCACTTACACGAGCAATATAAGTTCAAAAGCATTTAACAGTATAAGTTCCAAAACTATGCAGTGCAACAGATATTCATGCCATGTGTGTTTCAACTATTCTACTGGCCAGAGAAATGCAGGACGTACGTCCACAACCCCACAATAAGTAAAAGGAACACCACTTGCACCTCACCCACAGCCTCACCCTCTTGTATGTACCACATACTCAGGCTTACCGTATAGGTGAAACACCACATGCATATCATAAAGGCACTCGCATATAACAGCTCAACAACATTTTAACAAATCAATATATCATGAAAACAACATCATGCATATAACCATACCCCCATTGGACACGGTGGAACCAACAATGGCTAAACCGAGGACACGAAAACTTATCTTGCAAGCTAACAATCCAAGCCAAGAGTCCAACCAATGCTCAAAGTCCAAACACAACAGAATCACAATCTGATTGGACCAGCAATCATATCAATAAACATAGCTCATAAGCATAAACATAAAGACAACACTTTTCTTCTACGTTTTACGTCTTTAGGCTTCTCACAAAGCCACAAGCCCTTAATCACTTGATTCTGACTTAGTTTAATTATTACAGAAGTTCAACTTCATCAATCTAGGGTCCACAAACCCCCAATAGCCTTCTGTATGAATAGTGCAGCTACTGTTCTTCGAAAACCCAGAATATCCAGATATTTGTCGGGGGCATATCCGGATATCAATATCTGGATATCTCTCTACCAATATCCGGATATCAATATCCGGATATTCAGATCCCCATATCCAGATATTCAGATCCCCATATCCGGATAGTGATATCCGGATCCGGATATCAATATCTGGATATTTCGCGACAGAATGTAGTTCTGCATTTCGCGAGATATCCTTCCAAAGGTTGGGTTTTTAACCCATTCCAACGTCCAAGCATGCATTTTTAACCTCTTTTAAGTTCATATAACAATTTGTTACTTGCTTAACTCATTAAACATGCCAAGACACCTCTTTTAACAATTAAAACTCATGATCAATGGTTGAACAACTTACCCAAGGCTAAAAACAGAAGCAATGGCTGCTCTTGGAGCTCACTCAAAGCTCCCAAAGTCAGACTTCACCAAGCACACGAAAATGGCACCCCAAGGTTGGGTCTTTGCACCTAAGGATGGTTCCTTGAAGCTCAAAGAGTCATCACCAAAGGCTCTCACAACACCACTACCAAGACAGCAACTAGAGCCCACCAAGGCAGTAGCAAGAACTCAGAAACAAGGCCCTCTCACTAACACAAGATAGCTCACACCAAGATATGTTGATCAAGAGAAGAAACCATGATCAAAGGTGGTGTCTTTGGTGAGAAAATGAAGAAGAAAAGGAGTAGCAAGGTGGCTGGTCTCACCCACTCAGAAATTCCAACGTTGGAGGCTCAAAAATAAACCTAGGATCATGTACCAAGGCTATATATAGCCACTAAAATCTTAATCGCACTGTATTAGCGCTAAATTCTACGCTTAGCATTTTAATCCCAAACTTAGGATTCTGAACCTACTCAATTTTATAAGATTTATCATATTTTTATTAAATTTTTCGCAGCATCTTTCCGGTACACGCTTTTCCATAACCAGTATCAGTTCTGGCACCAGTTCTCATTATTTTGACTTGAAACTTGTTTTACAAGT